GGCCTCAATATGACCATAATGAAAAAAAGGCAAATGGTAAACACTCATAATCCAAACTGTTGCCCCTGTAGGAGGCTTTTCTTTTGAAACAATAATGTAATAGTAATTTAAATTTCTGGATTGGATCTGTAAGGATAAGTGTGATAAGCAAGACAGAAGGAAGTGAAGATAGAAAAAAGACCCTCCCATATAATGTCTTGAAGAAAAAAATATATTTCCAATAGAACATTTGAAATAATACTCTAAAAATGAATTTTTGGCTTTTAGGGGACACAAGTTTCATATTTAGAGCTCTTAGCCACAAAATTCCAAACACCCAGATTAACATAAATTGTACCCTTTACATAAGAGTTCACATGCATTCTCCTTCATTACGAGAACACTTCCATTTAGAACAAGATATACATCTTTAATTGCATTTTTAGGGTAAAATAAACTATACCCTTATATTTTGACTCACTGGGTCTCGATTTGAATAGCTTTAGGCATAGTACTGTTTGATGATTGAAATATATGAGCACTTGGAAGTATGATTTATAAATTACTATAAAAATTGAAGAGTATAATGCCTGTGAATTGAAAAACATGACCTATTAAACCTTTTCTTGCCACTTGACAAAGAATGTCCTACGGCTATCTTTTTAAACTCAAAATTAAAAGGAATAACTTATTTGTAACTTGTTATTCTATCAACCTCTGGTTCCCTCCTATTTTATCTCAAATAGTCATAGTTGGTTTTTACATTTTGCTTTTAATGAAGCTTAGTTATAAGGCTAACATTGAAAAGCTGTAGGAAGAGAATGATTGCTGATAGAAGGCAAGGTTTTATACGTAAATATTATAGATTACTCTATGAAAAGTAGGATGTTACTAGAAAATACTGACAGTAGTTCTTCTCAGCATCTGATGTGATAAAGTATTTACAGTTATTTTAACCAAGGTGAAGTAAGACCTTATCTATAGTGAAATTTGATTTAAAACAAAAAGGCACCTGGAAATGATGAAGGCATATTCACTCCTTAAAGTATACAAGACCTAACAAGCCTACTATGTTACAGACAAATCCTAAAATTATAGACTGCCATGGAAGAGGCAGAAAACTAACAGTCCATGAGTAGAGTGGCATGTGACCTTAACAAAAGTGTGAACAAAGCGGATTTTGCTACTTGTTTGGGCTGGGCAAATACTATGATTCATTATGAGTTTGCTGTTCTGGTCTAAATATTCCAAAAGGTTCAAGTAGGAAAATAATTTGCATTCCTTTCACTCTGTAATGTATTTCATTTTATTTTGGGTCATTTTTCAGGAGAGCCATTTTATCCTTGAGAATTGCAGTTGCTATTGCTGGCCCAGCTTGGTTAGCCAGTCACAAAAGCCCTGCCTGCTTCTAGATGAGTACCTCAGGGTGGCCATGAAAAAGCAAAGTCAGAAGAAACCATAAGAAAGACATGCGATAAGAAAGACATTTTGTACATTTGGCACGCTGCCTGACTCTTGGGCAAGTACTTCTTAGTGCTCCAGGGCCCACAACGTTTAGTGCTATCCCCATTCGGGTGATGGTATTCAACTTCTCCCACGCGTGCGGTCCCCAATATTGTATAAGGGTGTAGGCTGGGCCCTGACTCACAGGGTAGAGGTGATTTGTATCCTGTGAGTCACCGGCACTATTTCCTGCTGGCACATTTGAAATTTCACTGAAACACAGTCTCTGAAAGGGGAAGGGAGAGAGATGAATAGGTGAGCTCCAAGTTCCTAAAACCCATTTGGAAAGTTCACAGAAATAATGGCCTCTAAAGGGATTTTGATTTTTCATAGCAGTATTGCAATAGAAGCTCCAAACTGCCAATTTTGAGTTTAGAGATCATTTACCCCCATCACCTCGCGCAGAGCAACTTCTACCTTAGTTACCGATGGAAAGCTTGCCACCAATACAAAGGACAATTTTGTACATTTGTAGCTCATCTGTTTTCTGGCACACTGATACTCCCCAAAATCTTTATTTTGGTATCAGAGTGAATTATTTTCTTAGCAGGGACCCATGGTCAAGGATCAAAAATTGAAATCTAATATTTGCAGTTGAATCTCAGAGAGATGGTGATGTTCAAAAACACTATAAAGTCATGAAAAACTGAAAGATTAAAGAAATATATGGATATAACTTTAGCATCAATTCTTTCCCTGGATGACTTTAAAATAGTGAGTAGTGATTCTTAAGGGTGACAGGGTAGGAGATATCAGAATCTTCCATGGTGGATTTTTTCAGTCTTTTGATCACCCCCACTTACTCCTCTACCCCAGTTTGCAAGGTTCTGGGGCAGGGGTGAGGCGGAAGGAAGCTTGAGAACCACTGCTTCAAAGCAATAGAGCTGTGCAGATGAACACATGATTTAGTACTAACTTTGCTATCTTATTGGCTGCATACATCCATGATGGAACTGCAGTCTAAAAACATTCATTTGAGAGACACATTTAAAATTATTTACAATTTCGTCTGTAAAATACCCGGATGTTGGATTAATGTAGCAAGTCTCACAGAAACCATCCTGACTGATGGACTATGTCCAAGGGAACGTCACAGCTGAGGAGAGCCCAGTTTTTGTGGAGGCACACCCTGCACTGAACATACTTTAATTCTCAAAGACAAATATTTCACCTCTGGCCTGACCAAATGGAACAGTTTCTAACAGTGGAAAAACTAACAACTACTAAACACCTTAAAAAGAAAAAAAGACTTAGAAGCAAAACAGCCAAACAATTAGCTGGATTCTAAAATAGTCGCAAGTTGCAGTTGTAAGCAGTTCCAAACAGGAAAGGCTAGTTTCTGATTTCTGCAAAGGATAAAGAAATGAGCTTCAAATGTGCATTTGCACAATGGACCTGGCTGGCCCTTTCATGTTGGGAGAATTGATAATTCCTCCTCCACAGTGCTCCTGAGTTGAAGCAAGGAGGAAGAGGACTGTCAAGGATGTAAAAACACACACTTAGAGCTCCAGCTTGTGCTGAGCACACTGTATAAGCTAAAAGGTTTAACTCTTCAGTCGTGAAAGTGCATGGTAGAATTATATTGAGAAATACAACAAAATTGGCTTGGTTGAGAATCTAGCTCATGAATCTAGCTCATAAAAAGCTATGTAGACAAAATCATCTTTTTCCATCTTTGTTGAATTGGCAGTGAAATCCAAATTCTAGCCATCCTCTACAATTTAAGAAAGATTTTCCTATGAGTAATCGAAGCACCATTTATACTGTAGGAGAAATATGGAGTGGGGAGAAGACAGCTCTAAACTTTTCAAAAAGTATTTTCAAATCATTGAAAAACTATGACGCAGATATCAAGACACATTTCTAACTCTTTTATGGTCACTAGATAATTGGTATTTGACAAATCATTTAATGTAACTGCACTGAGGTTGTTTGAGGTTAATAACTACTTCACAGGGATGTTTTAACTGTCGAGTTTGAAATATTATGAAATTACATACTGTTATACTGATGCATAGTTTTCAGTACCCAAAGACTATGCAATTTGCTTAACAGATACATGCCTTCTCTAATTGAGAAAATATATAATAAAGTCCTTTATTACACGGATAAATCATCCTTTGAAGTACCAAATTAGAGATGTATAATCTTGTTACAGACCAGTAGAGGGCATTACCCACATAGGAGTATACTGCTAACACTGGAGCCTAGATGTTGAGCATCAAGGAACATTTATGGGAGTTTCTGGTATGTTGCCCTTTTTAGAAAATATCGTTTCCTTTAATTATCCCCAAAACTCTGTGAGGGAGAGAAAACAAATCACACAGCTCAAACTTTCTCCCAGGATTCCCTTTCCACCATACTTTGTTGCCTCCCTTCAAGGTTAAACATTCTGCTTCAATTTGTCCTTACCCTCTTTTGTTCTGTGTGATATCCATTATACTCTAGCATTTTATTGTCCTGTTTCCAAATTCTGTAATGTGACCCATTAACAACAACGCTATGTACCTTTAGGAAAGTTACTTAAACTCTCTATGTCTCAGTTTTTGCATATGTCTAATGGCAACAATAATAGCTTACTCAAAAGTGACTGAGAGGATTAAATGAGATAATATAGATAAGGAGAACTATGCCTGCTTATAGTGCATGTTCCAGAAATGGTAACTGCTGCCAATATTACTACTACCATTTATATTTATGTAACAATTACTCATATGGACTGGAAACAGTGGCTGAAGTACAAATGCCTGACTCTTAAACAGAAGAGGCTAAACTCTCTTTAGTAAACATCCGTGAAATTAAAAGCATTCTTCTTACGCTTTCTATGCAATTCAGAGACTACTTGAGTCATTCCGGTGCCTGTTTTCCAGCATTTATTTTTTCAGTGGAGACACATGAAACGCCTTGTTCAAACTCCTCCTGGGCTGACAGAAACTGTATTCTAGGGCTCAGTGAGGTTCATCTCACCTGTGTGTTCTTTCCCAAGTCAGATAAGATAGACAGTATTCTGACTTGGCTTCGATTACATTTTACAATGCAAAGAGTAATGAAATCAACAATGAATGTATCTCAGGTTGAGAGTCCTGTTTAGTTGTTACCTTAAATAGAGCCTACTTTTCATTTGAAGCCTTCTTTTGTGATAGGGCTTCACCTTGGAGCATTGCTCTGAACACATCTTGGAGTGAAACAGTGCAAACCGTATGGTTTTCCCATTGCTAAGCTTCTTAAGAAATCAGACTTCAAAATCAGGTGTTTCAAAAGGTTCTTGTGAAATATTAAACTAACCATGAATGTAATGCCAAGGCTTTTTTTTTTTTTTACCCTTGGACAGAAGAGCTCGGGGTTCATTTGTCTTTCAGCTATATGCCTGTTTCCATGAATTATTTTTTTGTGGTTTTGATGGATCAAATTCTTGAAGTCATTAAAACAACTCTATAAATACTGCAGTTACGTGGAAATCCGATTAAGGTTTCTTTCCTTGAAGCATTAATTACATATTTCATTTTCTCCATAAATAGGTTTCCATCTTCTGCAAGCAGTTCTCAGTACCACTGTGATTCCTTCTTGCATCCCAGGAGAATCTGAAGATAACTGCACAGCTTTAGGTAAACCGCACTTTGTCAACACTGCATCAAAAGTTACACATTTTTAACAGAAATATAACTTAAAGACTGTAAATATATGATGGGAAACAAAGGGAGGATAGCCTCTGTGTTAATAAAAGAAAATTTTAACACTTCTTATGAATTAGTGACCTGGAAAACTTATATAAAGAGATAATTGGGGGGAGGGGGCTGAGCATTGAGTTATATGGAGAGATTTGATCTTGAAGAGATAGGGAACAAGAAAATCAGATTCCCTATGGCCATTCCTCAGAGCTCGCTGTGAAACCATTCTTAGAGGTTGGATTCCAGGCAACACAAGAAAACTTAAACTTGTACAGAGTAGATAATCAATGTCTTTTTGTTGTTATTTTTCATAAGAGGAACACATGATGCCCTTTCTAGTCGCAGCATTCATTTAGAAACATTTATGGAGTATGCAATACGTGCAAACATGGTGCTTAAGAATAGGGATACAAAGATAAGTGATGCATAGTCTCTTGCCTGCAAGGACCTCAGAGGACTCTGGATGCCATTCAGGAGAGGTCAGCTCTCTGTGTAGTCAAGAGTTATTGAATCACTGAGCCAAGGGTTATCCTGAGTCAAGGGCTATGCTGAGAAATCAGGATATTTTCCCTAACGTCATCTTCTCTCTTATCATCCTTTATCATTGGACCCTGGAGGTTTGGTCTGCCACCCACCCTCTTTTTTTTGTTATTGCTTTTTTGAATTGCAATCAAGATGCAATTTTTTTTATTATTTCATAAGCATCCTTCCCATTTTAGTATATAGATTGCAACACTATTTCTAACGAGGCTCCTATTTTTATTGTTGTTTTTGCCTAACTGAGGCATTTGTACCTTGGGGTTTGTCTAGCTCATGTTCAATTCTCATTGTTAGTGATGGTAGGAGGCTTTGATTGATTTCTTTGATAATAACCTCAAAAATTTGGGAATGCCCACCGAAACAAGCCTTACGTACTTAAAAGTCACTGTAGAATTAAGCTCTCTTTAATGAATTAATGGATTCAGCTAACAATTGCTTTTGGAATAATGAATTTCAGAATATTTTGAGACTTGAAAAAAATTGGACAAACTTTGGGTAACTGAATAACTGTAGAAGGTAATGATTTTTGTGTGTATCTAAAACTTAATCGTTGTCTTTTGAGAAGTACCCGGTTTGTCTGATTTAGTCTGTTTGACATTTTTCCTTATAGATCAGGTGCTTGTTTATTGTCTCAGGACTGTGATAATAAGAGTGACTTCTGCTCCTGAAAATGCTCATTGACTGAATGGCCCCTGACCTGCTTTGTCACAGTAGATCAGTGGTTACTATTCTGAAAGGGCGATCAATGCTTCAAAGAAGGCAACAGGATAAATTCAGCTTTCCATTGCCTTCACAGTTCGGACAGACAACAGTCCTCGTGTGGCTCAAGTGTCAATAACGACGTGTAGATCTGAAATGAATGGCTACTGTTTGCATGGAGAGTGCATTTACCTGGTGGACATAGATGACAATTACTGCAGGTAATATCCCCCAAACAAACAAGCAAACAAAAAACAGGTTATTTCAAACCTATATTTCTTTTTCTATTTTTCATTTTTAAAGTGACTCCATATTCCCATGAGCAGAAGTTTATGTATATGATGAGCATGCAATTTGTATGTACCGTTAAAAACTTTAATAAGGGTTTGTTTGTTTTTTAAATTAGAGAATAGTAGTTACCAAACTGTACAGATACCTCAGGGGTACAGACTGACGAGGGGTTCAGATGCCTCTCTCTCACACTTGCCACACTTGCAGCTCAACTTTTAATCTTTTCACTGGACTTATGTATCAGCCACTGTTTTAGGAATTGATTCCACTGTTACAAATAAAAAGCACCTCCAACCTACAAAACTTATGAAACACTGTTCTAGACTGGCAGTCACCCTGGCAGCTGAACCAGACTGTCACTTTTGTATCACAGCTCAGCTTAAGAGCTATGTGGAGCTCTGTTTATCGAGGTTGGCCCAGTTCTAGGTCGGTCTTTGAATTCACAAACTTTCGGTAAACCATGTAGATTTCTTGCATTATAGTGTGAAATTAGTTCTTACAGAACAAATTCATAACCATGATTTCTTTTTAAGATAATTGATCTTTCTCTTGCATTTTCTTTTAGGTGTGAAGTTGGTTATGCCGGTGTCCGATGTGAGCACTTCTTTTTAACCGTCCAGCAACCCTTGAGCAAAGAATATGTGGCTCTGACTGTGATTCTTATTATACTGTTTCTTCTCATTGTTGCTGGTTCCATATACTACTTCTGCAGATGGTAAGCCAGTGTTTTTTTGCACTCTGCTTTTATAAATTACTTTTACATAATACAGACTTACAAACTTGGTAAAAATATAGACAAAGTATTATTTAGAGGGATCAGACAGATTTTGCATTGATGATACTTATACAGAAGTTTTAATGACAGAACATCTGGATTTAATTCTATTATTAACTGTTACTTATTACCTATGTGACCTTATGCAAGTCAAACTTGGAGCATCAGTTCTTTATAAAATACAGATAGCAATCCTTATCCTACATTAATTGCAGAACTGTTTTCAGTGTTGAATATCATAATTCATGGGAAAGTAAACCATAAGCCATGATGCCAATGTTATACTTAGGCAGTTGTATTTAATTTATTAGGTATTTTATAAAACACAGCCTTGTAAATTGATAACCCCAGAGACTAGGATCTTAAAATTTAAAGCAGACTAGCAGAAATGAGTTTCCAGACCATTATAACAGCTTGCTTTTAAAAAATGGCTCATGTCAGTTTCCTAAAACAGTCACAATCCATTCTCATGTACAATACAAGACTGCTAGGGTTAGGACAGGATATGGTAACAGTGTGAATTAGTTAACAGCTGTCTTTAAAATGTCTCCATGAATCTTTCTTATTTTGGATATGGTACAAATCGTTCAATGTAGATTTGAATGAATTTTATTTTTTGCTGAAAGTAGTGCTCTTCTACTTTTGAAAGTTCAAAAGTGTGCTTTTATAAGATTAAATTTATTTTGTCCAGGCTTGATTCTAAGTATTCATCAAATAATAATGCCTTCCTAATTATGATCACAACTGAATATGATTATAACTGAAATACACCAGAAGGTCTTTGACTATAATTCTTCCTCTTATAAAGGTAGGGAAAATGAGACCTGGGGGGCGGGGGGATTGACATGCTCCATCTCATGTAGTTGACAAGCGGCAGAATTAAGGCTAAGCAAAGTCTTTTTAATTGTATTCTTCCACTGCATAAACATTATGCAGTTTCCTCAAGACTACATGCCTCATTCCAAAACAGGTACAAAATGCACTCAAAATATTAGGAAGATAGCTTGAATGAATGAATGAACGAAGATTCCGAATTGTGATAGATTTATGAACCCTAGCGGGAGAACCTGGCCAGGTTATGTAACCTACTTGTACTTCACTTTCTTCATCTGTGAAATGAAGATGATAATCACAAATAGGATAAAATAAATAATAAGTGTACAGCACTTAGAATATTGCCAGTCATCTAATCAGTGCCTGATAAATACTAATTATATTAATTTGTATTGGTGATAACATTATATCAGTATGATGGGTAGAATGTAATAATGCAGTGTGATAATCAAAATACTAGTTCCTTAGTAGGAAGGAAGGAAAGAAAGAAACGAATGGAGTGAAGAAAAGAGAGATTGAGATAGAGATAATAGAGAGGGAGGCAGAGAAGAAAAGAAAGAGGGACAGAGGAAGACAGAGAGAAAGAGAGAAAAGGGAGGGAAGTGAAGGAAGAAAGAAAAGAAAGGAAGGAAGGAAGGAAGGAAGGAGGAAGGAAGGAAGGAAGGAAGGAAGGGAAAAACAACAACAAAGAAACCAGGCTTAAATCTGGTCAAATGCTCTCCTGGAGTCTTGCAATGTTCACAGTCATGTTAAAGTCTGTGAGAAGTCCTTTAATTGTGTTCCACCATTTTCTGCCCAAGTTGTTTGAGCACAGAACACTAGCCCTTTCTCCTTTTTCCCTCTTGTCCTACCTAAACCTATTCACTTCGTCATTTTGGAAACACTATGCTGATGGAGCGCTTGAATCCATATATTTGTTCCTTTTGTCAACATACTTTGTTCTTAATACTGTTAACTACAGGGCTGACAATTTCATTTCTGAATATTTCTAGGTACAGAAATCGAAAAAGCAAAGCACCAAGGAATGAATATGAAAGGGTGACCTCAGGGGTTTTGGCATTGCCACCACAAATCTGAATGGTGCCATCAAGCTTACGGGCCAGGATGCAAGCATGCCTGTTTATGTTAATATTCCTATTTTATTAATAATATTTATGTTGGGTTATGTGTTAAGTCAACAATGACATATTTTTAATATACTTGGAAAAGTTTTTATTTTTGTTTTATTATTGACTATTTCTATAATGTACACAAACTATTTAATATGGGAAGAAAATTGATATTTTTGTAAGAAATTATTTCCTGGGCTAAATGCTTTCTTGAAAGTTTCAAAACTTATTTACCTGCTGCACAATGCTTAGGAGTAAATAATCCCCAGTTTGTTGCTCAGGAAATATACACAAATGACAGATTTCTGTAAGCCTAAATATGTGGTCAAATCAATCGAATATTTGTCTACTCCTCAAATCAATGATAATTGGTTTGACTATATAATAGTTTGAAGTATGAGTTGACACTGCTGTGTCATACATTGAAACAGTGATACAATGGGAACCGAGAGAAGCAAATATGAATCATGCTAAATACCACATCTTTGAAACAAACTAAACTGGGAGAGCTGTGCTCCCTCCAAGCCCATCCTCAGCTAAAATTCTGTTTCTCTGCCTGGAGGGGAAGTGAACAATTTCCTATTCTAACTCACAACTCCTGTGGACACTAGTCACCAGTCTAACAGATTTTCCTTAAGTAAAATGAAACAAGAACTTAATTTTATATCATCTTTTAGGTAAATAGTAGATATTTTATAGTGTCACAATGTGTTTTTTGTGTGTAACACTTAATGTGACATAACTGTTGCTCATGAGAAAAAATCCACACTTAAAGCCAAAATTTGTGCTTCTTTTTAAAAGTATTTATTTTCATAGGGACTTGGCTGAAAAAAATTTAAGATGAAATCATAGTCCAAGTTTGTTGGACTAAACATTAAAGAAAATAATTCTGTATATTGTCTAAAGACAGATATATAGTTATATACAACAGAGTTTTAACTTGAAATAATGCAGTAAGTAGCTTCTTCTAGAATTTAAAACTATGTATGTAAAATTATATCCTGCTTCAGGAAGTGGGGAAAATAAGTCATAGCATATTTTGCCAAATGAACAAATTCATTTGAAAGCTTTTAAAATTTAGAAACTCAACGACGCCTTCCCTATGGAGCCTAAGATGAAACAAGGACCCTGCTTTCTGTCTTTTATTTTTTTGAGAGAAACTAAGGTTTCTCCCGTGCTCACAGCCTGTGGTCTCAGTGAGTTAAATAGGATACTTGGCAACTGCATAAGGAGCCACAGCTGTCACCTCCTCCGGATCTCATGGGAGACTGCCTCACTGAATACTCGACCTTTGGGTAGAGTCACTCAGGATCACACACCTGGTCAGGGAGGGTCTATTCTTTTTCCACTTCTCTTCATGACACGTGCTAGGGCAACAAAGAGAAAATAAGTGATGGCTGACCTCTGAAGTGCCAGGTGCCAGGACTTGCCTTCATATAATATATCCCTGCATTATATATCCTGGTGCATTCACATGATTCTTATCCAAAGTCCTGGAGATATAGTGTGTGTGCATGTGTGTGTGTGTGTGTGTGTGTGTGTGTGTGTGTATGTGATGTATATTTTTATACAAACACTTGTACATTTGAGCTTAATCATAGAACTATAGTCATTTGGTGCTCTATCAACAATATATAAAACAAAGACAAAATAAAAAAAATACAATAAAATTCAGTGAGATCTAAAAGGATCTTTCTGTTTTTCATTTAACAGAGTTGAAGTCAAATGTGCTGTGTAAGAACACATTTTAAATCCTATAAATATTGACATCTACTGTATGCAAACAAAGTCTGCCTATTTTAAGTGATCTTGATTGTTTCAAAGAAAATGTATTGATTAACCAAGAAATCAGCTTCAATTCATTTATTTACAAAAGGGAGTCATATTGGTTTACCTTAAGCATCTCAATTCATATTACATAACTAATTGTGTGTAGCTTGGGATGGTTTTAATCTGTACTTAAGAAAGTTTAAAAACCTAACCACTGTAATAGTTACTTATAAATGCATATTAAATAATAAAAAAGGTATAACCCAGATTGCTTTTTATAGGTGGTAATAAGTAAAAAATGATTGCTTTAATGAGGATAATGCTAAGAAAACATAAAAAATGATGCTATCAGCTCATGTTTCCTACAATGGAAAGATTTGTGTTCAGATTTAGTCTATCTTCTTCATTTTACAGGTTTCTCACTATATTTCTAGAAGGGTCTATTTATGTCCAATGTATTGAGAACAAATGCAAATTGAATGCATAAGTGCATAATTTATGGCTTCCCATCAAGGCCACACAATAACTCACTTGACACACTCCATAACCAAGGATGTAAAATTCTATGATTGATACTAAAGGTTTAACCTCAAATTGAGATTTATGTAATTAGTATGTTGAACATTAAAATACAGTAGAGCACTACTGTTCTTCTAGACATTTTTTTGCTCTCACCTCTCTGCTTTTAAAAGTCAACGCAGTGGGAGAAATGGTGCACTGGTATGATTATATCTAACTCAGATTTTTATTTTTTGTGTCCTTAAGAGTTAGCTAAAATCAATTGCTGTCAGATAAACAAATTTTCATGGAATAAATGTGTGATATTAACTTCTAATTTCTATTGATTTCAATGATACAGTTTTTAAAACTTATGTCTGATCCGTTTTGTCATTTTTGCTGCTCTGTAGACTTTTGGGAAAAAAATGTGTTTCATTTGCTGCCCAATATTTTCAGTTTGTTTTTTTTCTACTCTTATTCATAGGGGAGAAAGGGGAGTAACAACTTATATAAACAGTGTACTGGAGTACATTTTAATGTTTTAATTTAAGAGTAATTTTACCTGAAACATTTGTTATTCAAATTGGATCATGTTAAATATGAGATAATGTATTTTTCTGTTTATTTTTTTACACTCTGTAATTTGCACTTTGTAAGTTTAAAGAGCCATTTTGGTATTCAATTTATATTACATATTAAAGATGCTATGGGACATAAAATTGTATTGCATGCAGCTTAAAGTAACTTATATGATAATGAATTTTATCAGAGTACTGAATTGTATCAATTTGTTTATGTTCAATATCAGCTTTGATAATTGTGTACCTTAAGATATTGAAGGAGAATATAGAGACTTTACAAGATACTATTAACATTTATTTATTTTTGTTGGGAACTGGAAAAAAAGCACAACTGAAAAATAAAAATGCATTAAGCCATGCATAAAAACTTCACTGGTAGAGTCTTTTTTTCCTTTTTTTTCCATAATTCACTAAAGAGTTTAAAAGCAGTGACAGGACTACAATGTGTTTAGATATAAAGACATATGATCTCAGTTTGGGTAAGCATTATATAACTTTATCACATTTTATGGCCTACCATAGTAAAGAATTTCTTTGAAATATAAGAAGTCACATTGATTATAAAATTCTCGATGTTAGTATTTTGTTAAAGAGTATTTAAAAGTATTTCGAAAAGGAATAGATACCCTACTGACATATGATACCAAAAATATATATATACACATTTTAAGAAAGGAAATCTGTATTAAAATTTTAATACTCAATATATACCAATAACAAAAGATGAATACAAGTCACGTTTGACTTCTGCAATTACAAGAGGTGCTCAAAGTGGTTACCATCAGTGTCCAGGCACTTCTGATTACGGCAAACTACTGCTTGAGCAACGTTGACCAAAGTGTCCACTTGTATACGTTTTTTTGGCATCCTCTGTTTATATATATATATATATATATATATATATATATGAAACTTTTAAAAGGACACATCTGCCAGAAGCATGTCTCATGATTTTTCGTCATCTTCTCCCAACCAAGTGGCTTGGTTTCCCCAGGCTTTCAGAGATGGAAACCTCTGGTCCCTTTGAAGCTCCAACACAGTAATGGCTCCCATTGTTCATGTGCCAACAACACACAGAGTGCTTTATCTATTTATTAAATCTTTGCCCCATTTCATTAGCCTGCAGATAGGGCAGGGAGGCATAGCTATGACTATTTTACAATCACAATGATAGTAAAAGGTGGAACTGGCATGAGAAACAAGGCCTTCTGATCCCCAATTCTACTGTTATCCTGGTCATGTCAGAGGCAGCATTACCATCATGTGGAGTTAATCTGGAATCTAGTTTAGAGTTTCCTTCGGTTAAAAAGAAATTTTTGTAAAATAAAATTCTTGGGAACTTACAGAATCATCAGATTGACTCTGTTCAAAGTCTGAGAACCCAGAGGATAAGAAAAAAAACTCTTTGAAACACATTTTCCACTTGGCTTCCAGGATATCACTCTCACCTGACTTTCCACCTGCTTCTCAGTCTCATGTTAGGTTTTCCTTAATATCTCTCATCCTGCACCACTGATTTGTAAATACTGGACAGCCTCTAACTCTCAATTTTGGGATATTTTTCTCTATATGCCCACTACTTACTTTATTTCATATAGTCTTATACCTTTAGTTGTCATGTATATACTGGTTACTCCCAGCTTAGATATTTCTGCTGAGTTCAAGACTTCATTATTCAACTACTTATTTAATATCACTTGGATGTCTACTAAACATTCATAGGTAACATGTTCAATAACTGATATCCCCCTGAAAAGTTGTTTCTTCTACAATGTTCCCACCTCAATTAAATTCAGTTTCATCCTTTTTCTAACTTAGGCCCAAAATTTGGTATTATCTCTGGGAGGTGCTAAATGACTCATTTTAAGTGATTTCAGAAAGGATTACCCTAATTTTTTTTAATATAATAATGACAGAATTGGTTACTTTTGAAGAGATTATGTAGAAGGAAAAAATTCCAGTATACCAGTTAGGCAGACTATCACAATTTTCAAAAGGGAGAAATTATAGGCACTGAATTTGACTGATCAATTCTAGGTCATATTTTACCCCAAATGGCCACAAAACATTATAAAACATAAGTGCTGTTCATGAAGTTCCAACATGAATTCATTAAGAAGGAGACATAAAACATGGATTTCTTAAATATCCTGTTTGATCACCAGCTAATGGTATTCACCCATCCTATGAAAGCAAGCACAAATGCTCCATTCAGTTTATCTGAATATCAAAAATATCTGGGGAAAGTCTTCCAAAAACTTCATATGAACCTGAAGTATAAAGTACCTATTAAGAAAATAAGCACAGCCTAGGCTCATTAATGCAGATATTTTGAATGGATCCATTACATGCTAAATAGACAGAGCCATGAGACAGGATGATAGAAAACTTTGGATAAGGGCTTGATTACACTCACTGGGGATATAGGAGATATACATAAAAAGTTCAATCAGTGGAATGGTGACTTTTCCAGTCAATCTGTCAGAATACCTATTTCCAATTCTTTGGGGGAACAGCAGGATTAATACCAAGGAAACAAGTTCCTGGCCCTCAACTTGTTATTAAGAACAATTCACATTCTAAAAAAAAAATGATAAAAATCAATACTCTATGAATTAGTCTACCAATATTTATTGAAAATCTGCTTTTAAAAAATCTATTAATATATAAGGGGTTGTAGAGTATTCAAAAAAAGTGTAAAATATACTGTAGTTTTCAAGAAACTTAGAAGAGGAATTTGAAATTCTGGGGACATTTAAAGAACAATCCAAGACTTTAGTAGTTAGGATTGTTTGATTTTCATGGGACAGAAATAATTCTGGCTTAAGAAGAAATGTGTGGGAAGGAATTAGATAGAATTCAAGGAAAAGCCAAAGAAACAGGGAAGTTCTAGTAATTTAGTTAACAGTGGGCTGCTTCTAAGAGGTGATGTGCCACTATTTTTAGCTCTTGGGTGCCTGTGGCCTAGGGAGACACATTGCCTAGCTGGCATCACGGGCTAGCTTCTTGGCTAGGAGGGAAGTACATTGTGGTTGAGAAGCCACTAAATTGATAGCTAATGGGAGAAACCTGCCCCCCAAAGGAAAATCAGAGTGATCTTACCAGAGGAAGAATAGATAAATTCTGAACAGACATACAGAAGTCCACCATATATACCAAATAGTATCATATCAAACAATTTAGAGAAAGGTGACATCAAAGCAGAAGCTTTTATTAAGGAGGTAAGAGTTTAACTGGGCCTTGGAAAATTGACAGGACTTTGATAAGCAAAGGAAGGACTGTAAGACATTTTAAATGAAAGAATAATCAGCAAACACACTAGAAAAATCATAGCATGTTTAAGGCATGTCATGGAGACCATCCTGACAGGAGCATAGGACCTCTATTTGGGAATAGTTAAGACTTTAGTTTGAAGGATCTTCAAAGCCATACTGAGAAGATAAACTTTACATTAAGGGTTAATAGGGAATCTTTTAAAGCTTTCGATCAGAGGAGTGACACCATTAAGCAGAACAGTGGTAGGCAGAATAACGCCTCCCTCCTTTCATCTTCCAAAGATGGACACCACTTAATCTCTGGAGTCTGTAAATATGTTCTCGTCTATGGCAAAAGGGACATTGCAGATGTGATTAAGGTGACAGACCTTGAGGTGCGGAGGTGATTCTGGCCTAGCCAGGTGAGCCCAATCTAATCACAAGAATCCTTAAAAGCAGGGTGCTGTTCCCAGCTCTGGTCAGAGAGCTGTGCTGGAAAAGGACCTGACCCACAGTTCCTGACTTTGAAGACAAAAGAAAGAGGCCACAAACCAAGAAATGCAGGTGGCCTATAGCAGTTATAAAGTCAGGGAAGATTTCCTTCTTCTTTATAGCTGAGTAATATTCCATTGTGTAAATGTATCATAGTTTCTTAATCCAGTCGTCTACCGATGGGCATTTCAGTTGTTTCCAAGTCTTGGCTATTGTGAATAGCACAGCAATGAACATAGGGGAGCATACAGTTTTACGAATTCATGTCTTGGGTTTCTCTGGATAAATACCTAAGAGTGGAATTGCTGGGTCATAAGGTAGTTCCATTTCCAGTTTTTTGAGATACCGCCATACTGATTTCCATAGTGGCTACACCAGTTTGCAGTCCATCAACAGTGCACCAGGGAAACTATGGTACATTTACACAAAGGAGTATTACTCAGCTATAAAGAAGGAAATCTTACCATTTGCAACGATATGGATGGACCTAGAGAACATTATGCAGATAGACCAGGTAATGGAGTGTTGTAATGACCTAGATGTAAATTGAAGAAAGCTTAGGTCAAGATTATGTCTGGAAGAACAGAGAGCAAAAACAGAGAGGAAAATTTTAGACACATCACAGAGGGAGAACCAAAAGTACTTAATGATTGAATATGAGAAATTAGAGAAAGTGAAGTCAGAAAGAATTAAGTTGAGGAAAAGGGAAACTAATCTAGTTTAAATATGTTGAATCTAAGATAACAGCAAGATATATATATGTTTGGCAATACCTCAAATTTATATATACTGTTTTACAACTTACAAAACACTTTCACATCTATTAACTCTTTGTTTAAATGCATTCTCTGAGATGGAAGGTAGAGATTAATAATTATTACCTACAAGAGAATATAGGCTCCAGAAAGGTGATGGTTTGCTTTGAGTCACAAAGTGAGTCAAGTCATAGAACTTATGCACTATTGCAGGTCCCCTGAGTCCCAGGCCAAATTTCCACCCACTTGGAGCTGCCTCCCAGTGTGGAGCTTGGCTGTCTAATCTGAGATAAAGATGTAATGGCAGGAAGTCCCATCACAGAAACTGATGCCACAGAAACATTTCAAGTTAAATACTTCAGAGGAGTGAAGGGAGAGGAAAAATGCCAAGGAAACCAATGATGGACTCCAAGGAAATGTTTTCACCCAAGGAACTGGTAAAAGAAAGGAGCCAGTGAAGGCAAAAGAAATGGTTAAATATTTCATTTATTCATTCATTCAAAAATTACTTATGAAAGGCTTATCATATGTCTTACTGATCTACGTCCTGAGAATAAGTGATGAACAAGAGAGATAATGCCTGGAATTTATATTTCTAGTGGGAAAAGAAAGAAAATAAATAAATACTAGTAACAGCAATAGTAGCAAACATTTATAGAGGGCTTACTATTTGTTTTAAAGCTTTTAAAATGCAATAACATTAAACCCTCATAACAACCCTATGTGGTATACAACTACTTTTATAAGGCTAATTGCTCAGATGAGGACACTGAGGATCAGAGTAACTTGTCAAAGGTTGCACAGGTAGTGATAAAGTAAGTTAGTAACACATATATACTCTGGTTTCAGGGC